TTCGACGGTCGTACGACCGTCCTGAAAGGCTTTGTACCACTCATAAACTTGAGTTTTCGATAAAACTGATTTCCCATAAGCCTTTTGTAGCATTCGCAACGATTCTGCACACGAAATTTCGTTCGAAACACAAAATTTGATGCAAACTCTTTGTTCAATATTTTTTTCCATTGTTTTTTCGCAACGCACTACTGAGGGGAACTGGTTTCAACAGCTGGCCGTAAACGAACTGTCTGACAGATCGCGCTCATTTTTTGCATAGTAATTGTCCTTAATTGCTGCCAAACTACATAAACTTAAAATATCGAAAAATATACAGCGCGCGAATTTTAAATGAGAATTTCCGAAAACTTTTCGGTCTTAATGTATAGCCATTTGAAAATGTAACTACAGTGCCAATTCTCAAAACCCCATGGGTCTATATCACCCAGGAAAACAATCACAAAATGTTTTACCCGAGATATGGGTCTTTTTTTTTATAAAAGGAGCACATAAAAAAAATTTTCGACAAATCGGAGATCATGAGGTCATTTTTTGAATGACCTATTGACGTATGGCTTTTGATTCTAATAGCACATTCACACTGTCTCATTTAGGCGGTTTTGCTCATTATAACCACTAATGAGGAAAAATAAATTTCCCACAAGGCAAATTATCAAAAGTTGAAATATTTGTCATATATTTCATATGTAAAATGAAAACAAACAAGTAAGTATAATAAAATCAAATATATATATTAAATATATATTTAATTTTTTTATGTAATATGTTATTAAGTGAAGTATATAAAAGTTTATAAAAGTTCTCTGAGTTGCACAAATGAGCTCATTGTATGTGAACGATTCCTCATTAATATAAATGTGCAAGTGCCTAAATGAAACAGTGTGAATATGCTATAATAAAACTGTATTATATGCTATTTTGGTTAAAAACTCAATCAGTTACTAAAACACGTAATTAATGACTGCTACTTCATTTATAAAAATTAAGCTGTAATATGAATTCTTAGATCGTGCGATTAAATGCTAGTAGAGAATTTTTAATGGAAGTATTTCAAGTAATTGATCTACATGGGCATAGCTAGGCATTGCTATACACACATGCAAATAGAAAAAAATCGAACTCTCTTATAGAGATGCGCCGTAGAGATATTAGACTTGCAGTAGCTTTAAATAGAGATCATTGTATTCTAGGTAACCATGCTAAGAGACTAAATGAAATATATCTGTCGCAGTTGTGGTGAGGATGATGAAAGTACCTACCACCTGCTTTGCTTCTGTTTGGCACATGCTTGACGACGCCTTAACATTTTAGTGGCTTTCTTTTTTGAGGATCTTCAGGACCATCATAAGCTTTGTGAAATGTTAAATAAGTGGTTTTAACCCCTTGGGTTTTTAATAATAGGGTAGCACAACAGGTCTATAGGCCTAAATGGATTCTCTTGGGTTCGCCGGTATAACCTAACTTAATCTATTCTATTACGCTATTATTAATATGAAAATGGTAAAGTGGTAGTTTGATTGTAAGCGGAAGCTGATGGAGATAACTCCATCCATTTTACTAATTACTACGCTTGATTGGAGTATTCGTGAGATATATACTTAAAAGGTTTTGAAATTTGTCAAATACTTTCTTAAAAATTTATTTAAGAATTATGTCATTTCCCCCCAAGTTCGGTTTATACTTTCGGATGAAATAAGTTTTTTTTATAACGAGGTCGTTAAATATATACGAGTAAATTGGAATTGTTTCAAATATTTTCAAGAATAATTAAAATATTTTCAATTAAAAGTCAATAAAACATTTGTCTTAACCACTAAAGAATTTTAATTTATGCTTTCAAGAATTGTTTTTTTTTTTGGTTAATTTTTATTATGTTTCATTATTTTTCATGTTTTTTCCTTCCAATTATGAATGGTCATTTTCAGATCTGAGGTATTTTTAGCAATAATTACTGCACCAAATTGTGAATAAGTAATTTAGTCTGTGCTAGGCAGTTTCGCAATGGAGTTGGGTCGTAATGTTCAAAGAAACTAAAGGTCGTCTAATGTTGTAGAAGCGAAATATATGGTATAAAAAAATACCGAAATGTTCTGTTAAAAATGTAATGATTTACGCAATATCCACAAACCATTAAATTTTGTTAAAAAATTGTTAGCAAAAATTGCATTAAATTATTTTTAAAAAAGAAAAACACACAAAAGCAAAGGGGATCAAAAAATTAAACGCTGAGAAACTTAATTTCAAGACAAAATAACAGAAATTAAATTCAATTATTTTTAATCGCAGTGTTAAACCGAACTACGTGCCCACTTAGCCGGCCATCAGTCGTGGTCACCTTGTTTCTCGGTATGCATAACGAATACTTCACACGCCTTAGTTGAGCCATTAAAGCCACAGCAACAGCGAGAGCAGTACGCATAGGCAACTGCGATTAATGCAAGCTCGAAACGAGCTTGTGATGGAAAGAAACATCAAAAGTAATCGGTTGATAAGCGGTTTGCTCAAACAATTACTTCTATGATCGATTAATTATATCTATAATTGACATTTACAGTTGATACTTAACAATTATTTTAATATTACTAATATTCATATAATATGTTATTACGTGAAAAATATGAGCAAGCCACGGTTCGACATATTGACTGAAACTGGTTTGACAAAATTTTGAGTACCACAGTTTAAGTCACTTAAGTATGCAAAGTAGCGAAGACCAAACCGACTAAAAAGTTCAGCAATTAGTCACAGAAGAAAAGTTTTTATATTAATTCTAATCTAGAGCTATGTATCCAATAATTAACATATAATCAAAGCTAATCTATTACATGCATTACATTCATCACCCAATAAATATTGAGAATATATAAAATTGTTAAAAGTATTTGTTAAGCAGCAAAGCGGACATTTGTTATCATGGAAATTACTGGGTTATTCGAAAAGTAATTTTGTTTTTTTTTTTAGTCAAAGAGAACTTAAACATTTTTCTTTCGCACCCAACTTTATACTAACGTTATATTGTTTTATACAGGGTTATCCATTTCATGGAATTGATTTGGTATTACTGTTTCAGTAACATATTGCAAACAGAACTGTCATTCAAGGTTTCATATCCTTCGTCTAAGATATGCGAAGTCAATAGAAAGAAGAACGTACCCTGATTGGGTGTTAAAACAACACCATATGTACGACGCTTTATTTTCTTTGGTAATAATCGTCAATTTTTGTTTGGTGTGTATATCAAAAAACAAAATTATCACATTCAAATCAGTGAAAGCCCACAAGTAACTAATGAAAGACCTTTTAACTTGTATGTTAAGAAGTCACTGTATGGTCTGGAATTTGGTCTGGAGGTATGGCAGATTTATAATTATTTTGAAATGATAGAGAATTATATGACGCAATAGTCATATAGTTAGTAATTTTTTTTGTGTTTGAAAAAATTAATATATCGATGTAGAAAAAAAAAATTATTGCATTTCTGGGAACTTCACTGAACAACTTAAAGATATCAACTAAGCAGACGATATATGGCTTCTATCGATTAAATATACAGATATGCAATCCAAGCTGGAAAAACATTTATTAAACTCTGCACGTTTGGGTCTATCCATAAACCATGAAAAGACAAAATCTATAAAAACAAGACATGCAAATCAAAGTAAATACCAACTTAATACAGATCGCATCGAAAACGTCGACTCTTTCATGCAAACCTAGACAGAGTGATTTCAGCATCAAATAGCGCAAAAAAATAGACATTGTGGCAAGGATTGGGTAAGCTAGAGCTGCTTTCACACAGCTATGGAATATATGGCACTTATCCACTTTATCTATCAAAATTAAGTTGCGCATATTCAAATCAAATGTTCTATTTGTGTTTCTCTGCGACGCATACTTAGAATATGGTGACTCGACATTCTAACTTGCAAGTTGCAAAGCTTTATCAACCGTAGACTACGCCGCACACTTAGAATATTGTGACCCGACATTACAATTAGTCAAAAATTTTACGAAAGATGCAACATTTATCCTGTAATAACTTTGCTTAAGCGCCGCAAATGGAAATGAATTGACTACACATTACATAAGAATCACTTGGAGGTCTGCCGTCAAGTCCACGACTGGAACCCTCAAGGACGTTGTCCAAAGCAGAGCTGAAGGCGAACACTTTTAAAAGAAATTAGCTCACAATGGTATGAGATGAATATATTTTATTAAGGTCCTATGCCCCAATTGAAATTAAAGAAAAAAAGAGAGAGAAGATATATATAGTATCAGTAAGATGTCCTCAGAAAATACAAGCCACACAATATTTCCAGTTTTTTTTTGTTTGATCAGAAACTTTAAGGACGTTTAATTTGACGTTTCGATTATGTAAATTAGCCATCTGATCTCAAGATTTCGACACTTTGAGAAAGAATATTCGTTAAGTTATGCATTAGCTGATATTTAATTAAAATTATTTCTGAAAAGTCCAGTATTGTGCAATGTCCGATGAAGTACATTTGAACAATTTTCTATTTTGCATTTAATGGTAAGAATAATCACAGTAGTGTATATTAAATATTATATTATATTATATATTGTATAATAATATTTAATATAACTTAGTTAATTATTAAATATTAAGTATTAAATAAAAAATATATACAATATATTAAAAAAGATATTAATAATAGTGTTTTTTATATATTTCCTA